AAAAGAATATCCTGTTTTTCCTCCTGGTGTTAGGAGCCTTTCAAACACCCTCCACACAGGCTGTGTTGTATATTTGCCGACATCAACAGCTCCTTCTTATTACCGTGACTTGTTTACCAGGGACTGTGCTTCCTCACAGCTCGAGGTCATCGACATCGCACTGTGTTTACACCACGAGCACACGGTGTTTCTCCGATCCCTGTGTAAAACTGCCTTTCCATCTCGGCGCTGCGCGTGATCACGTCAGATTTTGGGGTTTTCATGCACAACTATCTGCATTGGTTGCTGTGGTAACGACCTAGATGTGTGTACGTTCGCTAATGGGTGGTGTGATTTTCCGACACAGAGCGGAAAAAACCCAACAAGCTGCCGTCTTGATGGAAATGTGTCCTCTCAGTCTACTTCCACAGAAACAGAGAAGTGATGCACTCGTGTTCTGAGCCGTAATCAAAGGCGCCCGAAGCCACATCTCTTAATACTTAGCATTCAGATCATCCATCAATTCATTCATGCTTCACAAGTAGATGCTCCTTCATCAGCTGATTGGCTACCACCTGACTGTTGACATTATTACCTGACGTGTCTCACTGTTACTAGCGACATAACTTGAGGCAGTTTATCAGACCTCACACTGTAAGGAGCCACGAAACAAAACGCTCTAGAGAACTATTTCAGCCGTGGCCCGAGGCATTGTGCTTTTTAGGATTTGCGTCTGTCTGGTCTTGAAGGAATTTCTTCAAATTTTGGCACAAACATCCACAAAACTGAAGAATTACTAATATGTCTAATAGGATGAAATGATGGAGTGATGTAATTTAGGACAGACAGGGCTGTAAACGGAGGCACACAACTGCGAGGCTCATTTGAGTATTACATATGCAGTAATATTCGTGTATCGTTAAGATTTTATCAATACTAGTGCTATGATCGATACTTTGATCGGTTCTTTTTGATGATATTATGAGAGAAAATCAATATTTAAATAAAAGAATCCACATTGCTTTATTTTTCTTTTATGGAAACAAATAGTTTTTCTTGAGCAGCAATACAAAAAGGAAAAAAATCTTTATAATACTTCTGCAGCTAAACAATTAGCTAAGCAATCAGCTTTAATTTAAGGTCTGTTCTCCTTATGAAAGGAGTTCTGCTCCTTTATGTTCTGCTTGTTGGGCAGATGTTTTCAGAGATTGCTGCTGTTTCCTCCCTCACTCGTGAAGGTTTTATAGCATTTGACACAACGAGAGTTCTCAGCATCTACTGGAGTAAAATGTAGCCATGATGTGTGTCTCACGCCGTAGTCGGTGTGTGTGTGTGTGTGTGTGTTTCAGAGTAAAGCACGACTCCGCCCCTCGTGCAAAGACACAGAGACAGGTTTGAGGTTTGAGATGCTGCTTTTTTCCTCCCAGATCTCCCTCCCTAACTTCTAAAGTACCGATAGCAGAACCGTAAACTCCGGATCTTATCAATTATTTGGTTTTACTACTTTAGAACCGGTTCCCTATTAGAACCGGGTTTCAGGGGGCATCCCTATGCAGTAGTACTCCCCAACACCTGTGAACGGATTGTGATGTGTAAAATCCAGCTAATGCATCACAAAACTAGATTGGTTCTGATTGGCTCCCATTGCTGAACGGTGACTGAAATCAATCCAGTCAGGCCAGTTTGTAGCAGTTTTACCTTTTTAATTATCAATTAGAGCTAATTCAATTAAATATGAACGAAAGAACATTTATTTGTGAAATGTTATTTCACGATACATCTGAACACAACATCCTGAGTATTGTGTGATTACTGAGAGTCTCTCACACGCCGGGTCTCTTCCCTCCAGGTGGGATTAATAAGGGATTAACTGTGAGGCCGGATCCACTTTAGTCATCTCAAATATTCCAATTTGTCCTATCAAACGTTATTACCGGCTGGATTTGTGCTTCGGCTTCAGGTTAGCTATGCTTCTTTGCATATAGATGCGTCTGAAGTCCGGGAGCAGAGCGACCGACTCCCACAATGCAACCTGTGTAGCCACAAACGATTGTCTTTAAAACTCAGATGGAAGGCTGATAAGACGCTAATCAATGATAATGGCACCCAATTAACACGCACTTCATTAGGCTTCGCTTAACGAGTGAAGCTTTTGCGCGGCTGTACGTGTAGAGGCGGTCCCTGCGCGGGAGTCCGCCGGGGGGGAGCCACCGCGCCACCTAATTAAAAGTTTCAAGTCGGAGGCACGCTGATTGTAAATGACTTCGGATGACGCTGGCGGGCTCGCTGTTGATCTCAAGCTGCTCAAGCAGTTAATTAAAAAAATAAAATAAAAAAAACAAATCTGTTACAGATTGCAATTAATGCACCCTGAGCGCCGGCCTCGTTAGCGGGCGCGCGGCCGCCTCGGTCAGCCCGTCGGAGAGAGCGGGAAAAAAACGCTCTCCATTTGTTTTTCATCTTTTTTCATGAGCCTGTTATTAACAGCTAAACCAAGCGATAAGCAATCATGTGCACAAGAGATGAAAAAAGAAATAACAAAAGCTGCGCCTCTTGGGAAAAGCCTAACTGTTGCTATGGCAACCTGCAATGAAAGGGGGGGGGAGGATTTTATTTTGAAGGGCGGTCGTCTCTTTATATTCACCCTCCGTCCTTTATTCCACCGTCTGTGAGGCGATCAAAGGTGTGACGGGTAGATAAAGTGTGGCGGCAAAAAGTGGAGGGAGATGGACAGAGAGA